CCTGTTGTGCAGGAGGTACCAAGGCTGACCTCTGAGGTGATGGCTGAGGAGGTGTGTTGGTGCACGTGCTGTGTGAGAGGTGGATGCTAAGGGAGAGTCCTTCCAGTACGGGCCCCGGGCAGGGCTCAGCTGTTTGCCCACTAAAGGGAAACTGGGAGCAGGTGGTGGCAGCAGCTGAGGGAATCCAGGCTAAGGGAGATGGCACAATGTGGGGACACTCAGTGTGCTGTAACCGTGCTCTCTGTGACAGTGCAGTGCACTGTAACTTCTGCTTACTTAGGGATGGGTGTTTAGGGTTTGTGAGTGCCAGCATCAGAAACATGGGCAGGGAAAGGAAAAAGGACAGGGATCACCCTCTCTTGCCTCTCCCATGGGAAGGAAGTTGTGCTGAAAGGACAATGGGAGAAGCATTAGGAGCATGTGAAGGCAGGAGCAGGACAAGGAGCTGCCGGAGACAAAAGAGAGCGCAGGCTGGATTTTCAGGAGTCTCCACAGGAATGGCAGGTCCTCAGTTCAACATTTGCATCAGGTCCCCTCTCCTAACCAGGAGCAAGTAAGGAATCTTGCTCTGCAATGCAATATCCCAAGAACAATGAGAAAACAAAACCCAGAGAAGGCACTGGTCATGGTGTGTGCAGAGGAATCTACGCTTTATTCACTAAACACTGAGGTGGGGACATTGCAGACAGAAGTGACAGAGGGTTCACATTTTGTGCAGCCCGCAGGTCACTTTGTACCTCATGACAATCTCACTCTTCCTCTTCTATCCTCCTATGAAACTCCCGACTCTTGGCTCGGAGCTTGTTGACCTGGGACTCTGCAATGTCAGCCCGTTCCTCGGCTTCCTCCAGCTCGTGCTGGATCTTGCGGAACTTGGAGAGGTTGACATTGGAGAGCTGCTCCTGGGAGAGAGAAAGAGTTGGTGGTGAGGAGCTCAGGGCAGGGGTGTCGCTGCTGCTGTGCCTTGGCCTAGGGGAGGGCACAAAGCTCCATCCACCACCCACCACAGTTTATAGGTGAGTCTCACAGTGAGGTCCTTGAGAGCTCCTCAGTGCCCCTCTCACAGTCCCTTTCACTGAGTCTAGAAACCCTTGTCTGGGCTGGACTGTTTGCCACAGTGAAGAAGCCACGCTCAGACAATCGTAAATTCAGGGCCTGCAGGATTCCCTCAGTTCCTCCCTGACTGCTGCACACCCAGAAACAGGCAAAGGGTCCTTGCACAGTTCTAAGAGCTGAACACAAAGTGGCTTGGGAGGACACTTCCAACACCTTCTCTGTCTGCTCTCAAAACTCTGAAACTAGGTTATTTTCAAAGTTTCTTAGTATGTTATACTATCCTTACCATCAATAAGATTCCTTCTTGCAGGCTGCTTTGTTGTCCTAATGCAACAAATGCTGTGTGCATTTACCCTCTTCTTAGTCTTGTCAGTGACTCACTGATTTTGTTCTCCAAGGCAAGGCTGATTTAGGAGCCTTTCAGAGAACTTGAAGAACTCCATTATCGAGCAGTGGCACCTTCCAACTTTCTTCTATTCATCTCCTCAGTGGCCAAGCTACTGTCTGGGAAAGTAGTTCTTGCCAAGCACTCAGTGATACTTACAGCCTCCTCAGATTGTCTCTTGTAGGATTTCACCTTCATTTGCAGCTTGTCCACCAGGTCCTGCAGCCTGAGAATATTCTTCCTGTCTTCCTCAGACTAAAGCAGTTGGCAAACAGGAAAGAGAGTGAGTTGGTTCCCCCACTATGGCAGGTAGCAATGCCCCTTGGCAGTCAGGTGCAAACACTTTTTGCATATGCCCACCTGGTAGGTGAGTTCCTTCACCCTCCTCTCGTACTTGCGCACACCC